TTTTTTCCCCCCCCCCCCCCCCCCCCCCCCAAAAAAAAAAGATCTCAGGAAAATGTGTTATATTAGCTAAATTGTGTTATTCATTTTTGTACTTTGTGGTTTTATAGATGAGTTTCACTGCTACTTTATCTTAAAAAGGTATTTAATAAGTGAGTTTTCCAAAGTCTGTATTGAGTTGTTTTTGTAAATTTAGATAGAACTTCAGAAGCATAATAAACAAGTAATATTTTAGAGAACCCAGTCATTTTGAATAAGGGTAGTAACTTGTGAGAGCCATTGTATTAGGAAACCATGATTAGAAAATTATCCAGAAATGTAGCATTAAAATTCTATTTCATACTTTCCAGAAAAGATAGTGGACATGCTAGGGACTTACATGTTTTAAAAAGGAAAAAACAAGTAAATAAAGTTTGGATAGCTGAAAAACTATTTTGTATTTTAAGAAATACTAACGTGAGGCAATTTATTAATCTGTTGATCTAATACTGGTGTGCACCTCCTTAAGTTAACATACAAAATGCATGTACATGTCTGGGCTTGAAGTTGAAAAATGATGGGGTACATAAGCCAAATTAATGCAACTTTCCAAATATTTCTATTGTGATACCTGAATACCTGGCCTGGCTTTTTAAATTGAGTTGATAAATTTCATTTAATTGCTATTAAAAAGCCCAGGAAGCCAATAAAGAGAAAGCTCTTTACACGTGAAAAGACAAATAACTAAGCTGAAAGTTGGTTAATATAATATCAACTTACCGGATAATATGGCATACCAAAAGGTAGTTCTCAACAACGTTTCTACATTGGGGGATAGGGGGAGTGTGATTGTGCTTTAGAGCTGTCCAAGACTTAATAATTTGGAAATATCATAAGCTCTAACCCACTTCTCATGGACTTTTGTAGGCCTCTGTTCCCCTCTTCTCTGGATATACATGCATCCTTGCCTCCAGACTCTCTTAAAGCAGTTCAGGACAGAGGAAAAAGAAAATCAAATAAGGCTTCCTTTTGAGTTCTTTAGGACTTGGGCTGTCTCCAAATTGCAAAATCCTGATGTTTTTAAGGGAAATCAGTTTTTTTTTTAAAAGTAAAAACTAAAAACTTTAGCTAAATAAAGCCAGTAACTAATAATAAGAAATCAGTTTCTTGTGGAAAAGCACAGAAAGGTTGTTATTTTGTTCAGTGACATAATAAACATAGTTACAAACTTAGCTGAATTTGTTTTGGCACTATTGAAATATAACGCAGTGTTTTAAAAGTCTGTGATTGTGAAGTGACAGGTAACCTAAAAGCTTTTCTCAGATCAAATTTATTTCTACACATCCAAGAAATACAGGCCTTAGGAATGAAAAATAAATGGTAAATTTCTGTGGTACAAGATATACTGTAAGTTGACAATATGTGTAATTTCAGACAGTGGTGAGCTTTCTTTTTCTATATGTGTTGCACTTAATATATTGCAGGCCACTTTTCTCATGTTCTCAGTTTTACATAGGTATCATCACATTGCTTAAAACTGACTGAAACTTATTTTATGCTTTTAAAACAGGTAACCAGGTATATTGATTTCTCAAAATTAATTGCTTTCTTTCACTTTTTTGTGATTAACATTAATAATATTCCTTCTTCTGTCATGTAACTAAATTGATTTTTTTTTGTTTGCGTATAACTGGTAAGATTTACCTGCTTTAGCTGAATTCTGTAAAGCAAAATCTTAATTTGGCTCAAAACACTATGAAGCAATTTAATTCTGTCTCTAGGAATTTTCTTGCTGATTTACCATGACTCACTGGCTTGATTCATCTGAAACAATTCAGATAATTAGAATGATTTCAGAACTTGAAAAAATCTGTTTCCCTCTCTCTTTAAAAAAAGGAAATCTCATTCTTTATTTAGAAGGAAGAACATATTAGAAAAAATACCTTTTGAATTAAAAAAGTGTTTGACGCTGTGTCTTCAAAAAAGTGTAAATCAGCACTGTACAGCCTACTGTACAGCCAGCCTCCTTCAGTGTTTGTACAAAGCATTGCAATGAGTTAATAGTGAATTGCCTTGAACTTTTTGTCCTAGTTTTTATTTCTACAGATTTAACTCTAGGTCCATGGATAGGCATTAATTTCTATTGCAGCACATTTCTGCACAGGAAATTTGCAGTAGTAGAAATCTTCCCAAGAGAGGGCATGCAGGCATTTCAGCTTGCCAGATGCCCCATCTTCCCTGCCCCACATGCTTTCCTCAGACCAGGGTCACTCCATTCTGGGGAAGGTTGGGGGACCAGTGAGAGTGCTCCTTCCAAGTACAGGAGGAGTCTAGGGTCCTCCCCAGTCTGTGGAGGGGGGATGGGAGCTGTATGCTCAGGACAAATCCAGCTGCCATTGGACTCAGGAGGGCTCAAGGGTGGCAGCAGCTGCTCAACTCCTGTCCTGATTGGGAAGAGTTAAGCTGCGGCAAAAGTGCCTCTGCACTGTCCCCAAACCAGGGTCCCCCTGGTCTGGGGAAGGTGTAGGGAAACTGCTACTTGAGTCCTCCCAGTCACTGAGGACCCAAGTGGAAAGATGTTCATTCCAGGGAGAGAAACACTCATGCAGAGGAGATCCTTCAGGTGTCAAAGTGAAAGATCTTTCTCCTAGATAGGGCTTCTTTCTTACATGAAAATCTGAATGAATACGTGTATGCTAACAATTTCTACCAGGAGAGTGGTGATTTACCTGGTACAAATGTAATGCCTCTATCTGGTTTAGCTCACTTAAGTCACATTAATTTAAAAAAAGAGAGAGAATCTTGAAAGTTGTTTGTAAAATAACAAGTTTCTTACCTACCACTACCACCTAGAAGGCTTTTATCCCTTATTGTTTATTAATTTTGGTTTAATAATTGATATTTTATGAGTCAGCAGAGATATCAATGTTTTCCGTCAAATAAATGTGCACAGTTTTTGAAGTCCATATGTTTAACCTTTTCTTGATTTGCTCTCAGAGTGAGCTCAGATTCTAATAGAAAGTATCTGCCAAATATATTTGCATGATAGGTAGTTAAAGATTCTTTTCATATTTGAGTTGTCTTCAGTTATACTTAAAATTGTGTTTAACAGGGAAATAGAGCTTACGGGATTTCTTTCTTCTCTTTTTCAGGCTCAGAAATCATGGATAGAAAGAGCATTTTACAAGAGAGAATGTGTTCACATCATACCCAGCACCAAAGACCCCCATAGGTAATTATAATAATAGTATTATTTTCTTAGTAGATAGGAATACAGGAAAATGACTGCAAAATAGTAATTATTCTTGGCATGTCCCTTAGTATACAAGACAAATATTTTCAAAATATTGGAGAGATGGATTGTCATGAGGCATGCTACTAATACTTTACACTCTAAAATTTATATTCATTCTTCTTTTTAACTTCTTAATCATCTCGGTAAAGTATTCTAGTTCCTTAAATACTTTTCCCCTGCATTTGATGCATAGCAAATAGCATAATAAGAGACTACCTTTAGATACAAGCCACTTGTATATCTAAAATATGTTGATGTTCATGTGAGTATTTCATTTAACTTAATATGATCTGTGTAGAGATAAAATATTATAAACAGTTCTTTTTTTAATATTTGTGTATTATGACCAGAGTATGGCTTATTTAAAAATAGTGTTGAATTAAAAGCAAAGCAGAAGAAAATAGAAAAACAAAGAAAAGTTGCAATTGCTTTACTCAGTCTGTTTCACAGATATTTTAATGTATTTGTTTATAAGACAGCTTCTGATAACTCAGGCCCTTTCGTGATGAGATGCTTTTTATAAAGACTTGCATTGTATATAATTTCTACAGGTATAGAGCTTGATTGCAAGTGACTTCTGTTTAATGCCATAGGTGTTGCTGTGGGCGTCTAATAGGTCAACATGTTGGACTGACTCCAAGTATCTCCATTATTCAGAATGAGAAAAATGAAAGCAGACTGACTCGAAATGACATCCAGTCGGAGAAATGGTCTATCAGCAAGCACACTCAGCTCAGCCCAACAGACGCCTTTGGAACCATTGAGTTCCAAGGAGGGGGTCACTCCAATAAAGCCATGGTAATCAAAACTCTTTCTTGGAAAAATTAGCAATGGTATTAACCCCAAAAGGCATTTGCAGATAACAGTTTGCTTTCTTATTCTTACATTAAAAATATTTGTCCCTATAAGTATCATGCATCCTGGAGGAAATAATACAGTTAGAATATAATGTAGAATGAATTAGGAAACCTACAATGCTACTCTAAATGGGCTATTATCATGATAACTGAGGCAGTGCACTGAGTGGTTAAAGGAGGACCCAGATGCCAGAATACCATGGAGGAGACAATATGAGAGACCATGAGACAGTTACTTATGCTCTTCAGGAAAGTTATATTTTATGCCATGCTATTACTTTGAATCCATATTTAAAACTTTATGGATTTTTTTTGTCTAGAATGGGACTAGAGCTATACTGATTCTTGCATCTGCTGTATAAATCTATTTTTAAAAAATAATGAATCCTTTTAGCAGTACCACTCTGCTTGTACAAAATTAGATTTCAAGGTATACTAGAAAAGGTTTGAATTCTTCTACTTTCTCTCTCAAAAAGGAGCCCCTATTATTATCTTGAAAAACACCTTCAGTGGTAGCCCCCACTTTTACTGTGGTCATGTGCAAGAAAAACTTTGTCTCCTTGTATCTGCAAACATATTTTAAAAGGTCAGCCATTTGTGTTAGAGAACTGCTATTATTCAAGGACATTTTTAGCATTTAAGTGATGTACTGATGGGAGATTTCATTCCAATCAAGAATTTGCTCATTTACCCACTCTCTTCTGCAATGTAATTCCTTCTTTTTTTGGGTTCTTGTGACAAGGTTTTTAGCATACTTCACAGATTTGCTGGAATCTGACATGGCCATGAACTCTTCTGCTATAGTCTCAAACTTGCAACCTTTGGGCTGTCAGCTATGCCTTAGAATGTAGTTACACATTCTTTCCTTAGCTAAACTGCATCTGCCTTTACATTATATCCCTGATAGATAGCAGCCTGGCAGGCTACATCACAAGAGGCACAGAGCTTTTCCCATGACCTCTAAATTGCTGTGACAGAATTGTAGCCTTAGTTATCACCACATGATTATTCCTTGCATGTGTTGAGTTTTTAATTCTGAGACTGAACTGAGAATCTACTCCCTGTAGGTTAGCTGCAAGAGAGACATGGTCACTGCTTATATTTCCTCAGATGTGACAAGTATTTTCTCTTTTCTGCAACTTTTACCAAATTGTTTATATATCTTTTAAATTGTACACTATAATACCCCAAAGGCCTCTGGATAACTAATATAACTGGATATATTATACTGCCCAAACCAAAATGAGCAAGAAGTCTTAATAAACACATCACTGTGTTTCTCATCATTAATATTTGTTTGCCCAAACAAAACCACTATCTTGAGTTTCCTCTCTCCTGTTTAGCACATGAGTGAATCTTGACACCTTTTCCTTAATGGATACAGCTGAATCCCATACAGATTTTTAATGAATTCTGCTTTACTGAAATGAAATTGCTTGGATCATGGTTATTCAAGGTTGGATGGTTGATGGCTGTTTGAAAGGCTCACAGTGATTAAATTCATTCATTCTATTTTAATAACTTCCTGCTAATCCAGTGCATTTCAATGATACATTTAATATGCTCAATGAGAAGTTAACACATTTGTAAGTGCAGAAGACAAAATTGATTACCATGGCACAGCCTTAGTGTTCTTTTGTTCTTTCGCATTGTGTTGCATCACTGTAGCCATGCAGCAGGTAAACAGAGTTGTCAAGCATCTCATATGTAGCCTTATGTGGTTATACTTCATTAAGAACATCAGTCAGATGTAAAGGCATGTTTTAGATTTTAAAACTCCAAATTTGACAAAACATCTCTGAAAAGCCATCAGTGCAATGAGAGGTACAAGAGGAAAATCTTTTAAATGAAACAAGTAAGCAATAGTACAGCTAATTGTGGAATTAAAAATAAAACAACTTATGGAGATGAAACAAAATTCACAAAGACCTTCAGTCCAAAAGATATTGAAATCCATGGGAATCTCCCATTGTCTTATATGGGTTTGGATTAGGACCTAATATGTTAAAATGAATATTAACTAATAGAATCCAATCTTGCTTTTGTGGATTTAATGAGATTTTCTCTTCAATTTCAACATTACGCTGAGCCAGATGAGGCTTTTTGCTGTGAGGAGCACAGTTCTGAAGATTGAGACCCAATGTGGTTTGAAAAAGCAACAAATTTTCAATTCTTTTTTGATATAGGAGAAAGGGTCATGACATCCTCCAGTTGTCAGTGCTGAGAAAATGAAGGAATGAACCTCAGACAGCTTTGCAAATTGTAAAATATTATGCAGCACACTAATCTGGGGAGTTTTAAGATGTAAGACTTAAGAGTCAAGTCTGTCAGCTGCAGAATAGGTCTGTATGGTGAGTTTGTAAATGCTGTTATTCACTGAGAATCTCCCTCAAATTATTAGTGTCCTCAGCAATCAGCTAGCCACAGTGCTAACTGTGTTTCATTATCTGTACTGTAATAGAGACATATTATTTGGAGAACATGATAGCTCAGGCTATGGTACACTTTATCTTTGAGTAATTCAATTCTAGCTCAGATTGGGCTTTTTGTAAGCATCTTTATTGGGCAGTGAGAAATAAATTTGTGTCTTAAACTACTTCCCTGATAAGAGATGGAACCAGCATAATCACAACAAGCTTTAAGTAACAATTTTGTTGACAGTCTCAGTAGCCCGGCCAGGGATTAAATGGGCATAAAGAGTCCTTTGAATTAGGCTGTAGCTCCAGCGAAATAGGTCAGTGATGAGGCAAAACACATTAGCAGGTTGCTGTGGTAGATTTGATATTTCTTCTTCAAAGTTTTCTTGATTCACATAAGATGCAGCCTTCAGTGCTGTCAGTCTGGTTCCATTCATAAGCCCTGAATTTTCCTCTGTTAAAAATAATCACTTACGGAGTTGACAGGCAGGAATCAGTTTAAGAGATTCAGGAGCAGAACAGTGGTTCAGCTCAGGTTCATATGTAAATGTGAAATTCTTTTTCAGCAAGCCATAGTGAGGGAAGCCAAGAATGGCGACAGTACTCAGTGAGATTTTTAAACAGAAAAATGGAAAGGCCTAATGTTCCACTGTAAAATTGAAAGAAATGAATTTTTAATATGTGCAAAAATGGTTTTAAAAGCATTTATTCATAATTTAGTGAATGCTTTAGAAACGATGACAAAAGGATTTTCTCAGATACACCAAATTATATCTGAAGTGATGACAAAAGAATTATTCCAGGGACACTAAACTGAAAATATGCTCTATAAGAGGTAAAATTAATTGGATAATCACAAAAATTGAAGGCTTCCCAAGTTCCCATATGCAGTAGAGAAAACAACATTTTAGCCTTTTGGGCCTTTCTCAGAAAAAAGCTTCTAAATAGTAAAGCTCATCCATGAGTATTTAAATTCCCCGTAGCATAGTTGAGAAGAATCATACAAATTTTGTTTACTTGCATTTCTTCTGATAAAGTTAACTGCATCCTTTTTTTTCCAGGAGAATAGTCATTTTCACCCACGGTATGAGAACATGCCATCAGTTGAAATTAATGATAACAAAATTTAGACAAAAGGAAATATTTCTTCAAACTCTTGCAGTTAGGGAATGGAAATTGTCATTCCTGGAAATCCGAGAGCTTGATAGATAAGAAGATGACTGATATTTTTACCAACTAGTAGCTCTGCGTGCTAATATAAGGAAATAAAATCACATGTTCAGGGCACACATTAATTGCTACATGGGCATCTTTGTTAACAAATAGAAGGCCCAGGAAATCCCTTCCCAATCCTGTGTTTTTCCATTTAGCACCCTAGTATTAGTGATCCCTGGAGCATATGGTTACTGAACTGTGTCACGCAATTATGATTTTAGTCTTTTGTAGCTGAAGACTACCTTTCTTCTGGCATGGTCCAGGAAATAAATATCCATCTCTTCCCAGTACTCCTGTGTGTCATAATTTTGACATCCCTTGTTTCCTAATAAAGTTAATTCACTTCAACATTGTCACTATGCTGTAGCACTTTGCAAATGTAAGAATTCCAGCCATTAAGGCTAGGAACAGACATCACGCACAAACCAGTTTAAGTAACCAGAAACTGCTTTAAACCTGTAATAGAACAGATGTTCAGTGCATGTAAACCAGTTTGAAAATGGCTGAAACCAGTTTGAGATGAAGCTGGTTGAGTGTAGTAATCAAAATTAACTAATTTGGTTCAAACTGGCGTATGAAATGGCTGTCCAAGACCCCTTCCTGGTTTAAGTTAAATCAGAGTGCCCCAGCATCCTGCTATGCTCTCTGGGCTGGGCAGGGCTCTCTGCTCCAGAGGGCTGGGCTGCCCCCAACCCCTCTGCTCCCTGGCTGCAGCTCCAACAGAGACTGCAAGCATCGGCCTGGCTTCCTCCTGCTCCTCCCCCCACACTCCCCACCACCACAGCCACCACCACCACCACTCCCTGCTGAAGCAGGGATTCCCCACCCCCCAAGCAGGGATTTCCCCCTCCCATCTGCCTTACACAGGCAGCTCTCAGCATTAACTAGCAGACCACATACTGGCTACGGTCCATGCTGTGGCAGACTACACAAAGGCAGACAGCACAGTGTAAATTTAGGGCTTTTTGGAGTTAATCAACAGGTAGCTGGTAACATCTCTCTGTTCCTTCCTTGAAAAAAGTTGTTTAAGAAGAGCTTGAACTAATGAGCGAAGCTTTTGTTTTCTTAATAGTCTGATAAACACTGAGTTTGGGGTCATAAACACTGTTATCAACTCCCTGCTGGGTTGCTGGGGGGTAAGGGGGGACCCCTCCCTAATCAGAGTGTCCTGCCAGGCCCTGGCCATGCCACATCTACCAGCTCAGTGCTGGGGAGGGCTTCTCTAGCACTCCCCAGCTTCAAGTCTGAGTCACTGCAGGCATGTGCCTGCATTTCTGGAATGAAAAGGGAATGTCTATCCACCTCCAAATTGAGTCAAGCTTGCTAACCTGCGAAGATTAAATCAATTCAGACTCAGGCTTTTTGAATGTCTGTCCCTAGCCTAAAGGATATCCATAAAGTACGTACATGCACTTAACAGTATATCACGTGCTTGCCCAGTGCTCACTTTATATGGCTCTCCCACCTCCAGTATATCTTCGGTATCATCTACTGGGAGAATTATTATTAGGAGTGGCTTTTCTTTATGTGCTTAAATCATATTTGCATGCCACAACAGGTATTAGCCATTCATGCTCAGTTTGTTAAAAGTTTCTCATCCTGTGAGGGAAAAGAAAGAGCATCATATGACTTAAAGTATAGCAGATCAATCCAACAACAATAATAATGAACAGATATGGTAAACGTTAACAATATGTTTCTGAAATATGTTTGGATATCATGTTCCCTGAGAGTTATGTCATGGGAGGATGAGGAGAGGAACACAGAACTGTCCTAGGAGTAATTATGTATGCCCTGGCTCAACCAAAAGTTATGGGCCTTATACAGAAAATACTAGGTGAAATTTGGTGGTCTGTTTCATTGTAAAAGTTTAATCTAGTTGATCATAATGGCTCTTTCTGCTTTTAAAGAGACTGTGGAATAGATTTCCTTTCATTTCAAGGTCTATATGCTCATGCAATTGGAGCTCCAGACAGAACTCCTCCAGGCACAAGTTTTGTGTATGTTAACTTACACCACCAGAAATGGTGATGCAAGTATGGGAAAGGGACCTGCTGAAGGAAGGGGGTATGTTAAGTAGAAGAAGCAGCATTGTGTGGCATGCTCAGCAGAGGTTCTGAGTAGCACTGCCACCACTGGGCTGCCAGATGTGCAGGTTACATAACGTAAGGTGGTAGGCCTAGGGATCGGATATATAAGAGCCCAGAATTTGAAGGACATAATTATAATTTCAGGGCATATTAGGTCCCTGGCCCCTTTACTGCATATCCTATGAATCTCCCACAGGGACTCTGTACAGATCAATCAATGAGTAGTAATTTATCTTTTATTGAATCCACTCAAGTAAATATATCTGCTGTTATAGTCGCATCAATTCCACTTGCAATTTTTGCCCACCTCTCACGCCTCCCAAATATAAATTTGTGTGTGTGCATAAAAGGTTGAATTCCATAGCTTTTTAGTGTTGGACATTGTAAACTTTCATGGTTTTGTAATATTTTATACATATTATTTATTTGTTTTAGAAAGCAAACTTGAATAGAGGAATGCCCTAGTGTTATAAATGTTGTAGATTTTTTTCCAGTGCATTTGTTTGTAGTAAACTAAACCTAATTCTGATATGGATCCTCTCTGTGGCCCTTAGCGAATCTCTTACCTCTCTGCTTCAACTTCCTCATGCGTAAATTATGTATAATATTTGCCTATTTACACCTGACAGGGGAGTTTGTGAAGCTGATTCTTTTAATTATTTCAAAAAGCTTTCAAGAGGGACAAACATGTTATCAAATTGCAAACTGTAGTTATGCTTTTCAAAAACAAAGGTATTTTTAGTAATAATTTTTGTTTTAAAATGGTGGGTTTTTTAAAATAATGTCTTAATAAATGTCAGACAGGCCTATTCATAACCAACCTTTTCCTTTGTCAATACTCTTAATTCTGCAGTATGTACGTGTGTCCTTTGACACAAAGCCTGATCTTCTTTTGCACCTCATGACCAAAGAGTGGCAGCTAGAGCTCCCCAAGCTTCTCATTTCTGTGCATGGAGGCCTTCAGAATTTTGAACTTCAGCCAAAACTCAAGCAAGTCTTTGGGAAAGGCCTAATTAAAGCTGCCATGACAACTGGAGCCTGGATATTCACTGGAGGAGTAAACACAGGTAACAGCTACATTAAAATAAGAATACAGCAGCATCAAGGAGTCTTTTATCATTTTAACGTTATGATTTAGAATAGGTCCAATTAAGAGAAGCTAACCCATTTCATGTCATCTTTTTTTATTATGCATGAGCAAGAAAATGCCAGAATAATAATGTCTAGCAGCTATCTGAAAATAAAAGGTTTACTAAAGCATGAAAGACAGATTGCAAAGTTGAAATATAAAGCCTGCTGTGGGGCAATCTAAAGTGTTTTGTCAGAGGGGACTTCAGCAGATCAACATCAATGAGCCGGAGACCACTTATGGAAGAGAGCAATCTGTAGCCTGCAACCAGAAAGGAAGATGCTAAACCTAGAAATAAGAAGCCTTATACAAGGAAAATGGTTTTCATCCAAGAAAAGAAAAAAGCAACTTTTATCTTTAAATTTATAACAGCACTCTGTATGCCAAGAGAAAACTTTTCTGTTCTGTGTGCAGGAGGGAAGAAGTGCGAATAAAAGTTATTTTTTTTCTTCTCTGAAGATAAGGTGCCTAAGCTATTTCATGATTTTTCTGAGAGATTTTTTCTGTTGTCCTTGGAGCACAGAGATAATATTTCTATCTGCATGCAAAGTTGAACATAGCTATATTTTGAAGCCCTGAATTGGAAGTTATTTTCTACCAGTCCATACTTGTTTTATTGTGATGCACAGAGACTGTCAAATATCTGAAAAATAGGAGGAAAAAAAAGAGGAAAGGCAAAGGGTTTTACTTGTAGTGAATGATAAACATGTAAGGTTTGAGCTGAAACATGTTTGTGTAAATTGCCCTGGCACAGTCTCATTACCATAGTCATCGTAGTTATAGTGCAGTGCATCTGTATTACAGCAACGTGTAATCCTTTCAGTGCGTATGGATAATCTCATGTTTATTTTATGGTATGGACAATACAGGTCTGATAAAAAAACTTAGTGAAGTAAATTGGGTTCTTTGCATTAATTTTAGTTGGTTTCAGATCAGCTTCTTTGTGTTTTGAAGTTCAGTGTTGAATTCAGTATGTCTGATGCTTTTACTACTATACGTCAAATTAAAGCCAACCGTATTTTTTGCTTACCTGATAAAAAGCTTATCTTTCACTCTCCTTCCTCACCAAGACATCAGAGAATAAACAGAAATTATTTATATATCTTATGCCTCAGTGGGAGAGAGAGGCAAACTAGACCATGTCCTGACCAAATGTATTGTGTTGCAATGATAATTTAAATAGAGCTCATAATATAGTAGGAGGAATGGCAAAGATGGCTGGAAAATCCAAATGAAATGCATCACTGTGGACCTTATGCACATGCTGCCTTATGCTTGCTTGCCAAGTGAGATAACAGATCAGACTGCAGAGAATTCATCAGAGGTATAGCAAGCACTTTCTGCACCCTCTGCAGTGGCAGTGGCAGTGGCTGAGATGGCAGCAGTGGTGGCTGCATTCTTGCATGCCCTCAAAAATGGCACTGGGAGCTGGTGTGCCTGTCACCCACACCTAGCTTTGCTGCTGGATTTTATTACAGGAGAACTGAGTGTGAAATTGTGTTTTGTAGAATGAGGTCGAGGTGTTGAGTTCCCATGTCCTTTATACCAGTTTCCAAAGTGTTGTGATTATAGTTGACAATAAGGAAAGACAACTGAATTCCATGTAAAGAGAGAGATGTGGTTCTGTACCAAAATTTTTCCATAGTCCTAATAGTTAGAATTAGGACTGTTGTGTGTTATCTTAAAATAAATCCTTTATAAGCAACTACTTCTGGTAAATTAAATATATAATGTGGATAAAACAGATGACAATTCTAGGTCAGATTTTCAAACCACATAGATGCACAATTGTGAACTTAATCTCTGTATGTAGTTACTACAGTTTTTGTTCACAAATCAAAAAAGTCTGTACACACGGATAGTCCTGCCCATTTGCACCTGCAGTTATAACATTTGTTTTCACACCCATGATAATTGCATGTGAATTGTGTGTGCAAGGCACTTTATATATGTAACTGGGTACCTAACTCATTTGCATAAATCTTATCCATAACTTCTTTTTATTTTTCGGTTTGGGGGGTAGGAGTTGTTTGTATGTTCATTTTGAATAAAAGTTATTTTAACAATTTCTTTTATCACTCTTAACAAGCTTTGTTTAGATCACAGGTATAACAGTTGGCACTGGCTACTGCTGTTCACAGTGGGTGTGTCTACTTGAGACACTACTGTGCAGTAGCTGTGGGGATACCTTTAAGAGTGGTATGTATAAGTTGTTACATCAGCCTGGGAATTGCAGGAGGGAACAGCAGATCAGTAGGCTAAGAAGGCTTTCTGAATAAATGAGCTTTATCATTCTTTAAGTTTAGCTCCTTGGTATTTTGAGAACAACACATGGTACCAGGAGCGGGGTGCAAAGAAAGACAAAAATGGAGCATCTCAGAATTCCCGAGGAGTTAAAGCTGTCTAGCAATGCAGCAGAAAACTGGAAGAAATGTAGGTAGAGTGTCACCATAGTTATGACAGTGCCTGGAGCTACAGAGAAGGAAGATCCATTCAAGGTTGCTTTTTTTTTTTAAAATATAGCAGGTCCAGAAGCTGTCTCTTTATAATAGCCTACAACTTTCAGAATCAGAACAGAAAAGCTATGGCACAATACTAAAAACATTTGAGGAATATTGTACACCCCAACAAAATTAAACCTTTGAACAGTATAATTTCCACATGAGACAGCAGAAAGAATGAGAGACAATAGAGGAGTTTGTCAAAGACCTCAGACCACTGAGCCACACATGCAACTTTGGAGACCTAAAAGAGTCCATGGTCAGAGACCAAATAGTTTTAAGTATAAGGGATACAAGCCTCAGGAAAAGACTGCTAGAAGATCCTGAGCTTAATTTGGAAAAGGCAGTTAGAATGTACCAAGTGGCTGAGATAACAAATGCCAGGCTGCAGAAACTGGAGGAAAAAGGCAGAACAAGCTGAACTAGACAGGACTGCAAGACTGAAAAGACCTAAGGCAATACACAAACAGTACAGAAAGGAGTACCTCACTATGAAGCAGGCAAGCAGAATCCAAAGAGAATTGCTTGAAGAAACAGTGGTCAGCTGCAGATTCTGTGGGGATTACTACAAACCCATGCAATACTCTGCATTTGGTAAGCATTACAACAAATGCAGAAGATTCAATCATTTTGCAAGAGTTTGCAGAAAGGAGCAGGATGCCCCACACAAGAAACAGAAGGTGCATGCTCTATGCAGTGAGGAAAAGGAAGAATTCCTCATTGGTACAATGCAAAAAGTAGTTCATTTTTCTGAGGATTGGACAATCAACCTGGACACTGATGGACTAATGGTAACTTTTAGATTAGATACAGGTGCACAGGTCAATGTAACACCAGAATACATTATTCAAAAAAATGAAAACTAAACTTGTGTACTATGACAATAAGAAAGTGAAACTTAGAGCATATCATGGGAACATTATTGCAAACAGGGGTGTTTGTGCACTGCATGTTAAACACAAGGGTAATATAGTAGAAGCTCAGTTTGTAGCAGTCCCAGGAAATCTAATGCCAATTATTGGTTTGCAAATATGTAAAACTCTAGGTTTGTTTAAGAGAATGGATTCCATTGAGGGACTAGAAAGCAAGAACATAGAAGAAGAGTTTTATGATGTGTTTCATGGCATAGGGAAACTGTCAACTGAGTACAGGATAGAATTAAGAGAACCAAATATTCCAACCATACATGCTCCAAGAAATGTTCCCCTTGTACTAAGGGAGAAACTGAAAAAATAATTAGATAGATTGGTTAACATGAACATAATAGAAAAAGTAGAGCAACCAACTGCTTAGGTTCAACTGGTCGTAACAGAAAAAAAGATGGATCCTTCAGACTGTGTCTGTATCCTATGCAAAAGAATTGATACACCAAAAAGGGAGCATTTTCCCATTCCAGCTAGGGAAGAGGCTTTTGACAATGTGGCAGAAGCTAAATATTTTTTCCACTTTGGATGCCTCTTCTGGGTTTTGCCAAGTTCCCCTAGAAAACAATAGTACTATAATATTTACCTTCAATATGCCCTTTGGAAGGTATTGCTTTCATAGGCTTCCTTTTGGACTGTGTTCTGCAACTGAAGTATTTCACAGAAAGGTGCAACACATTTTTGAAGGTCTTGATGGAATTGTTTGATATTAATGATGTAGTAGTTTGGGAAAATACTATGGAAGAATATGCCTTGAGGCAATGAAAGGCACTAGAAAGCTCACAGAGCAGGTTTGAAACTGAACAAACAAAAATGCAAATTCAGGGTCAAAGAAATATCATATCTGGAAGAAAAGCACTCTGAGAAGGGGTGCAAATCAATCCTGCAAGGGTTAAAGCAATTATAAACATGCCACCCCCTATGAATAAGGAAGGAGTGCAAAGATTACTGGGGCTGATCAATTTTATAGGGAAATATCTATCTAACTTAGCAGAGGAGACCAAACACCTTAGATCACTCCTACAGAAGAATACTCAGTGGATATGGGAACATGAACACAAAACTGAATTAAAAAACTTGAAGGAAAAAATAATGAAAGCTCCGGCACTAAAATACTATGACCCTAAAAGACCCATTACATTGTCAACACATGCTTTTAAAAAAGGCATTGGAGCAGCATTACTTGAAAAACATGGGGATAGCTAGAAACCAGTATCATATGTATCTAGGGCACTCTCCAAGTCAGAGTGTCTGTATGCACGAATTAAGAGAGAAAGTTTAGCTCTGGCATATGGTTCTAAGAAATTTCAAATATTCATCCATGGGGAACCTGTGATAGCTGAAACTGTTCATAAAGCTTTTGGTAACTATTGCAAAGAAAGAGCTATCAGACATGCCACCCAGGTTACAGAGACTTTTATTTCAACTGTAAATGTATGATCTAGACATACAGTACACACCAGGCAAACATCTACCTATTGTGGGTATGTTGTCCAGAGCATATGGCACAATGGAAAATGCCAGAATTCCAGACTCAGACATAGTACAGGTTAATCTAATTAAAAGAGTGATTCCTGTCACAGATACAATGTGAGCACTAATTGCAGAAGCTACTACTCAGGACACCACAATGAAAAAAATGATAACAGTTATTTGTGCTGGTTGGCCTGGAAAACATAGCTAGCCCCTACCCTCAGTTTAGGGAAGAGCTGTTAGTACTGGATGGCATTTTCTTCAAAGGCTCATGACTTGTTCCAGCAGTGCCAAAGAAAGGCATTTTATACAGAATACTTAAGGGGCATCCCGGCATTCAAAAATGCAAAAAGAGAGCAAGGAGTGCTTTATATTGGACCAACATAAATAATGACATAGAAGACATTGTAAAGGCTTGTACAGCATGCCTAAAATACAGATCAGCACAAAGAAAAGAGCCCGTGATGGTCACGGAGGATTCCGTAGTTCCGTGGTATCGAGTGGACATTGACTTATTCATACATGCAGGAAAAAATTATGTATTAGTGTTAGATAATTATTCTCACTATCCTGAAATGGCATTGCTCAAAAGTACAGCAACAAAGCATGTCATAGCTCATATCAAATCAATTTTTGCTAGATGTGGGATTCCACAGATTGTGAGAACTGACAATGGACCGCAATTCAGTTCAACTGTCTTGATTTGAAAGAGTTTGCAAACAAATATGGATTCTGTCACAACACTTCAAGTCCTAAATTCCCACAATCCAATGATCTGGTGGAAAAATAGAGTACAAATAGTGAAGAAATTCTTGAAAAAAGCTACAGATTCACACACTGATGTTTACCTGTCACTCTTAAATTACAGGGCAACACCCATGAAACATGGATTGTCCCCAGCAGAAATGCTATTTAATAGGAAACTCAAAACCAGGCTTCCAAATCTTGTGGATGGTGCTCATCAAAATGAAAAACAAAATATGAAAACATTAGAAAAAAATTGACAAACTCAAACACGGTACTATGACAGGGGTTTCAGGGAGTTACCACAACTGCACAACAAAGATATGGTGCTTATTTCAGATGGATGAATATGGTAACAAAAAAAAACTAGTTTCCCATCAAGTAGCTCCCAGATCCTATCAAGCAGTCACACTGGAAGGACAGGTATTAAGAAGGAACAGACAACACTTGCAGCTCATAAAGGGAAGAAAAGAAGCAGCAGCACAAGATTCACCAAAGGAAACAGTGCTAACAACAAAGCAACAAGAAACAACAGAGGAGATTGAAAATGACACAGAAGTAGAGACATCTGAACAAGGACACAAAACATGAACTGAACCAACAAGGACTGAGAATTCACAGAACCTGAGAAGATCCCTTAGAGCTAAAAAGCCAACACAATGACTAACAGAGACCTGTTAAAACGTGGTTTAACAATGGGTTGAACTAATATTCCAGCATTAGTATTACATGGGGATATGTTACATGTAAAGGGGGAAGATGTGCGGATACCTTTAACAGTGTTATGTATGAGTTGTTACATTGACCTGGGGATTGCAGAAGGGAATAGCAGATCAGTAAACTAAGAAGGCTTTCTGAATAAGCAAGCTTTCTCATTCTATAAATTTAACTCCTTGGTCTTTTGAGAATAACACAGTAGCAACAAGCTACTGAGCAGTAGCTCTTTGCTCTTGCACAGTAGTGTTGCCAGACACTAACAATGCGGTGATGCTACTGCACAGTAGTAATGAGCTACTGTGCAGTAGCCTATTGCTACTGTGCAGTAGCATTGGGAAAAAAAGTGTGGCAATGGTACTGCACAGTCATTTAGTACTTGCTTATGAGTAGTACTAAATTTTGTTGTTACTGCGCAAGTACTAAATGACTGTGCAGTAACAATTGCACAGTCTGCAGTAACAACTGCACAGTCTCCCACTCATGTAGAAGTGGCCAGTATATCCTAACTGTGGTACATAATCCATTCTACATAACATGATCGCTAGTGAGGCGTTTGCAGTTAGAGCTGGTGGTGTATGAAGAAAAGCTGTGATGTTACACCTAGCATGTTAAAGTGCAGGGTGGCACACATGGTGTATGCCTGACTACTCCCATGAGAGTTTAATGTCTTCCTATAAACAAGTTACTTGGAAAGCTTGCAAAGAACTATTTCCAACTATTTAGTTGGTCTAATAAAAAATATCACATCTACCCAAAGAACTTTGCCAGGACATAGACAGAGTATAGTTAAGGTATGAGCAAGGACAAAAGTTGTTTGTCAGTATAATTTTCCTTCTTAGAACTATGTGATTTTATTCAGTAAGAGTGTGGGTAAAATGCACTGAATTACCAAAGTACTGAAAGTGTCCCTCTATTTTACTTTATTATATCCAAAGTTAAGCAAAACACTTAAGGACCTGTTCAGCTTTAAGCATATGTTTCAGTGCTTTGTTGAACAGCAGTGGGATTGCTTGTATGCTTTAAACAGAGAGTTCAGTGCTCTCCTGATTCTAGTTCTTCACAACTAAAATACTTTTTTGATGTTTTATGTTCATCCCTTTTTTTTCAGGTGTCATTCGGCACGTTGGAGATGCATTAAAAGATCATGCCTCAAAATCTCGAGGGAAGATATGCACCATTGGTATAGCCCCCTGGGGTATTGTGGAAAACCAGGAGGACCTAATTGGCAAAGATGTAAGTTCCACATGGTTCATATACAATTTATAAAAGTATTCTGTGTCATTTTTCTTTTTTTCTCAATATTTCTCAGGTGACATTTTTTGAGTGAGGCTGCCTTCTAGGGAGGCAACACAGTAAGTTCTTCATGGTTCCACAATTTTTATGAGTATTTATCAAGATTAGAACAGAAGCAGTGTTCTAGAGATGCAGAAGATTTGGTATGGTTCAGGAAATAAGGCATTCCAATCTATTTCTAGCCGATTCTGTATTTTTTTTAAATTTAAGAACATAAGAATTGTGATTTACTGAGTCAGACCATAAGTTCATCTAGCCCAAGATCCTTGTGTCACACAGTGGCAAAAAGTGGATGCTAAAACAGAGAGTGAACTAGATTTTTTCCACTGTTCCTTTCTCACTTACAGCATCCAGCATTTAAAGTCTAGGAAGTTCTGATTCAGAGACTATATCCCTAACTCCTGAGTTCAATAGCTACCAATGCCCCTTTCCTCCAAGAATTTGTCCAATCCCTTTTTGACTCTGGCTTTAAAAAATGCAAAGAAATTCTACCAAAAAGCTTACTTAATATCACATTAAAGTTTCATAGCAAATCAGTAAAAAATGAAAGTATGCTAACATTGCATGAACACTTTTAATTCTGCCCTTTGCTGTAGAAGTATTATCACGTGCTGCTTAATTTCAGACTGTATGCTGTTTCTCAAGAAACACATTTCATAATATACAGTTCTTTTCTACAATATGGAAAGGTTCATGTCTTGTAAATGCATCATGCAGGAGGCAGAGCTTCACTGAAATCATTCATCAATCATCTTCTAAGGGGCACATGTAACATTGACTGTGTACCTTCTTTCATACCATCTTTCTCTTATAGAGAAAAAATTCAAACTCCTCAAACTCAAGTGATAATAGAAAATAATAGAACATTTTCCTTTTTTAAATATTCCTAAACACTTCTGTTTCTTTTTCATTCTTTGAGTGTTTTGCATAAGACTTCAGGATATACATTCTTAGTAGATGCTAAAGAAATCAGTCTGTATCCTGCTGGAATTGGTTTCTGCAGTAGTGTGGGTTAAATTACACAGTACAGTTTTCTTGTCTAAATTATTCTAAATCTGTATTCTCAAAATGCTTATGCAGTATAGGATAGGAAAGGGAGTTCAGTTATCAATTATGTTGAAAGAGGTAACAATAAGAGTAAAAGAAAGTGCACCCAGTTGAAACTTACGGCTATTTGCTAACAAAATATAAGTGCCAGGGGGAGACTGGGTCCATTTGCATATCTTTTTTTACTGGTTCCAGCTAACAGTCCTTACATAACATGGTACTAGGACATAATCCTACAGTATTGAGGGTGCTCAGAACCTACAAGGAATATTTCAAAGGAATAATTTAAGAGTCTATTATGGCCTCATCAGGGATTCATCTTAAAAAGACAAACTGGAGGAACCTCACCAATCACAGAGAAAATATTCCTGATGCTGTAAGTGCAGGGTGAGAGACAAGCTACTCATGCAGACAGACTTTATTGAAGTTTCCCGAAGTGACTGGCAGAGTATTGGTGTCCCAGAAACATAAGGAAGCTGAGATGGAAGGGGTGCAGTTTAACTAGAGAGTAATTTGTCTGGGAACTATGCAGCGAGTCATCACACTTCCCTTAATCATTTCCACTGCTGAAAGAAGCACTGCCATCTGCCCCACCACTGCCACCTTACTAGTTACCAGATTTTTAATGGGATCCCACCAACCTGTGTGGGAATTAAAGGTCTGCAGAAGTCAAGTTGTCTCCTTTCCATAGCAACCAGAGGAGCCCGTCCCATTTCATAGCTTCCTTAAGCGATGCCTTCTAGGGCTGCATAAAATGTCTGTGTTTCATTTCAGTTTCAGATTCAGCCATTTCAGAGGACAGTGATTCATTTTGCTGTTTCAGATTAGTGTTCCATTTTAATTCTGCCAAGTCTGTTTCAGAGTTTCAACGCTGTTTTGGAGATTCAGATCAGCTGGGGAGAGGCAGGCATAGCCAGGCAGCTGCAGGTTCTCCCATGGCTCCTCCAGCTGTGTCTGCCTGTCCCTAGTGAGGAGAAGCCCCCATGGCTGCCCTGCCTGGCTCCAGCCCCTGCCCAGCCCCAGCCTCCTGGCACTTTAAAAAAAAAAAAGGCCCACACTGACTGGCTGCAGCAGAGCCCCACCATGCAATGCAGGGCAGTTGGAGGCAGGAGGGGTTGCTCCCGCCTCCTAGCACCCGCATGGCAGCCATTGCATTGCATGGGTGCAGCGCGGCTCAGCGGGGTGCTGCATGCTGTGTGGGAGCTGGGGCAGCTCCAGCAGTCAGCTGGAGCCCGGCAGTGCTCAGCCCCAGCTCCCAGACAGCATGCAGCACGCTGCCAAGGCAAAATGGAATGGAAGACTCTGAAACATCTCTGAAATGAAATGAAATGAAACCATCCAAAAAGTTTCAGATATGTTTCAGATGTTTCAGAGGCACCTCCCGCGAATAGTCTAGCACAGCCCAGCAGCCCTCCTTTTAAAGTGCCAGGAGGCTGGGGCCAGGTGGGGGATGGGGCTGGGTAGGACAGCCATGGGGGCTTCTCCCGTGGCTACTCCGGCTGTTCCTGACTCTATCCTGGTGGCGGGAGCCACAGGAGAAGCCCCCATGGCTGCCCTGCCCTGCCCTGCCCCAGCCTCCATCCAGGGGCTGTGCCATACTATTCCCAGGGGGTGCCTCTGAAACATCCAAAACATCTCCGAAATGTTTCAATTGGTTTTGTTTCATTTCAGAGATGTTTTGGAGCCTTCCATTTAATTTCAACTTTGGCGTTTTAGGCACCAAAATGGGCTGAAAGACCTCCGAAATGAAACAGCTGCTGAAATTTCGCACAGCCCTAATGCCCACAGTCCAGGTTTAACAGAGAAGCAGGAGTTTAAGAATATTTCAAAGTTGAAACATGTCAAAATGTTATTGAATTTCAGAATGAATTTCATGCTAAATTAACTCTTTTAAGCTGTTTGGCAAATTTAAGAAGATAATATTCAGTCTGAATGTCTGAGTGACAGATGAAGAATTTTTAAACATGTTTGGGTGAACTCATCCATGGAGCTATATTGACATAAGTAATCAATGTAATGGATCTTGTAATTGATGATAACATTTGGTCCTTCAGGTATATTTATTCAATGTCTTGGGGAAATGAATTGAAGGGAATAAAAATTCAGGAGGGAGAATGCCATCAGAAATAATATCTGCATACCTAAAACAAAGATGGAATGTTATGAGATTAACTGAGAAGGGAAAGTATAATAAATAAATGCAAGAGAAGAATAGATATCCAGGTCAGTGAGCATGTAAAAGGAATCAAAATCAAGCAAGTTATAAATGAGCACAGTGTAAAGGAAAAATCCCTCAAATCAAGTCAACTAATAGCAAAGGGCATATTTAAGCTGCAGCATCTATTGTGGATCTGTGCATGTGCGCTCAGTCTAGTTCAATTATGATCAACACATCTAAAATGAAAAATTGTCCAAACTACACCTTCATTGTTTGGAGCAAAAGATACTATCAGCAGCAGTGGAGACTGGAAACTTGCTTAGTCAGGTGATGTTTACCAGGGTTCTATCCATCTCTCTGCTTCTCTCCTCTTTCCCCATATTGTATATGCTTTGCTCAGCAAGTGATTTTATTATGTTAGATTCCTGCCAGCACTTGATATTAAGCCACCAGAAGGGCTGTAGGTCTGGCATGGTAGATTTATACAGGGCTGTGTGAAATTTCAGCAGTTGTTTCATTTCAGAGGTCTTTTGGCCCATTTTGGTGCCTGAAACACCAAAGTGGAAATGAAATGGAAGGCTCCAAAACATCTCCGAAATGGAACGAACCCATTTGAAACATTTCAGAAATGTTTTGGATGTTTCAGAGGCACCCCCTGGGAATAGTACGGCACAGCCCCTGGACAGGGGCTGGGGCTGGGGCTGGGCTATGGACTCGTACATGCAACTATTGGTTTTGAAATCACTAAATATATAGATCCATGTATGTTAATTTGTCCTTACCCATTTTGATGCTTTCAGAGTTAATGATGAGTGTGTGTGTACTGTGTGTATGTGTGTGTGAAACGACCATTGAGAAATCAGTAATGCAAAATAGGCATCAATTTGTTCAGTTTATGATTTCGATCTTCAAGACCATCAAGGCTAGAAATATACATTACTGAAAATAAAACCTGAAATCCCAGAGCACCTTTCTGTGGCAAATTCTGCAGACATGATATCCACAAATCTATGTGGATAGCTGTGGTCACCAATGGGTCTATCTTGATCGACTGGTAGATCTGGAGGGTGGGGTGGAGGGCCCCCAGCCCACCAGGACAATCCATGAGCGAGGAAAGGGGCAGAGGCCAGACTGAGGCCCCCATGGTGAGGGACAGAGTGCCGCAGAGGCAGGAGCAGGGGTAAGTTGAGTGGGGCCTCAACTGGGTGGGTGGTGGGAGGATCAAGCCTGGAAAAGTCCCATCAGTTGCAGGGCACAGCTACAAGACTCATTGTCTATAGGAGGTTGCTACTTGCTGGTGCAGATGGAGTCCAGGACAGTAATCCCAGACTCCCCTTGTACTTGCAATAAGTTATAATAGGATCTGATGCTGGATCCCACAATCATCCCTCCTGCCATGCACATGGGGCATGGCAGGAGATGCAACTGGGTGGATTGTGCATCAGATCCTATTACACCTTTACCTGAATGTCTAGATGGGACCCTAGGAAAACCTGTACACGTTCCCAACATCTGCTCTGATGTATTCTAAATAGAGTGTATTGGAGCAGATAATTAGTATGATCCAGCAGCCTCGGCATCACATGTATTCACAGCATTCATCCCTGTGCTTCAGCATGGCGGTTTAAAGCTTGTTGAACAAGTTAAAGCAACCCACTGCCATTTTGAAGTGCAGGATGCTGAATACATAAGACACTGTGGGTGCTTTAATTAGAGTGGCTTCTGAGAGCTGTTC